TGCGGAATGAACCAATCTGGAATGCGAATTCGATTTGCAGAAAACGAAGAAATCCAAATAATTATTTATAATTAATATATAATTTATTATTGATGATACATATATAATTCTTTTTTATATATGATATAAATTCCATCCTAAGTGTAACAATTTATTGTAGGTCTTTCGTTTTGCCTTCTTCTACACTACATGTTTCGGCCGCAAACGGCCATCATCAGGTGTATACACTCATGTAGCTGTTACACTGCACCCAGTTTAAAATTTAAAAACACACAGGTCTTCCCAGTTGGCTAACAGGATCTACTTCACTGCTATTTGTCTGATTTGTACATCATCTTTGTCACCCACACACATCAAATTTGACATTCATGAAATGGCACTTTTAAAATCTTCAGTTCCAATTTAGAAAACTCCTTTAGAATTTTTTCAAATTTTAAATTTAAAATTAAAAGTCTCAGGGTTATTTAAAATTTGAAAAAATTTTAAAGGAATTTTTCTAAATTAGAACTGAAGTTTTTTAAAGTGCCAGTTCATGAATGTCAAAATTGACGTGTGTGGGTGACAAAGATGATGTACGAATCAGACAAATAGCAGCAAAGTAGATCCTGTTAGCCAATTGGGAAGACCTGTGTGTTTTTAAATTTTAAACTGGGTGCAGTGTAACAGCTACATGAGTGTATACACCTGATGATGGCCGTTTGCGGCCGAAACATGTAGTGTAGAAGAAGGCAAAACGAAAGACCTACAATAAATTGTTACACTTAGGACGGAATTTATATCATATATAGTGTAACAAGATGCTTAAATATAATATTATAATTCTGTTTTACTAAAAAGCCGTCTAGAGACATTTGATTTTGCCGACGCTTCAAAATTTGGTGAAAATGCGACACAGCATTATCATTAAATAAATTTGTAGCATGCATAGCCACTGCCTTATTAGGGTGATGCTTCTCAATGTACGATGCAACAGTTTCCCATGCTTTCAGCATTTCTCTTATTTCGCCAGAAGACTGTTGCTTTGCTGTTACCTCCTCCTCCTCTGACAAACTCCCCTCCACAACTTCTTGCTGTGAAACACAATGCAACTCCAAATCGTGCATATCGTTGATGTAGACCGATTGTACGTGCATGCTAGATCAGCCACTCTCACACCTCTCATTCTCTCTCAGTGATTTTACGTTTCATTTCTACGGTTATTTTTATTCTCTTATGGCTGTCTTTTTGCGGCTTTTTCTTTGGGGACATTTTTGCAAGGGTTATTAAACTTTGCACACAAAAAAATCACAAATAATATGTCTGAACACAAGTTTGGAAAAATGTGTGATCACAAGCGACACTAAGATGCTAGCGGAACGAGTGCCAAACACAGATTGATGTAGCAGGCGCACAATCCGGGACTTCCCCTCTCGTCACTCGTGCGAAACGTTGCTCGTGAAGTGAGTCATTTTTTTTACAATATTTTTGCTCGTTATGCAAATTACTCATGAGAGGTGCTTGTTAAGCGAGGTTCCAATGTACTCTGGATATCTTTGATATTCATGGTGTCACAGGGATAGTTTTCACAGCCCTGGTATGGTTTGGTAAGTAGAATAAGTTTGGTTTCAGGACTACAGTTTACATGGTGGTGCTAGGACATATGAAGAGTTTGCCATGTGCACATAAGCGGTTAATTTCTCTTCCAGTGAATGGGGAGAGGCACTACGTGAACTGCCACAACCATTCCCGAGATGAGATTATCAAATGGGTGAATTTACTCTGCACACAGTCAGGAAATCAAATAATCAGAATGAGAAAGCTGTGGCACACAGACTGCCCCTCGATTCAAGGTCCATGGAGTCCCTTTGTGAACAGGGATCCTCAGCTTAACCTTGTAGAGTTTCCTAACGTAAGTTGCATACTTCCATGAGCCTTAGTTGTAGACCAAATTCTGAACATGAAACTAAGGTGAGAGTTCTATCTTTGGGAATGTAACGCTGCACTGACTGTTGAAAGTCAACTTGCTTGGCCTCTTCTTTGACCCTGAATATAGAAGTGACATGTTCAGCCAGAACAGTGATTGGATTTCAGCGGACTACATGGCATTGTATCTCAAAAGCTGAATCTCTTCATAACCACTGCTCTGAGAACATGAAATCCTACATAGTGGAAATAAGGGGTTGCCGTACTGTAGATTGTTCCACCAAATTAGTTTGATGGTTTTGTGGTTGTGTATTTGAGATTTGAGAGCATTTCAGATCTTGTTTAAACTTTCATGATAAGTACAACTGGCACATAGAGAAGCAGGGAGGAATTGAGTTTCTTTTTGAATATAGACTCCATTCTTTTTCCTTTCTGTTGAATTTCAGACATGGCAGTATTTAAATGAGGATGATGAATCTGTGTCATTGTTAGTATCATGGACTATATAGCAGCAGAAGGCAGGATAATTTGTGAATAATGAATTAGAAAGGATTTGGAAGTGGTCATGACCTAATCAAGATAATATTCCAGCCAGCATTTTCCTGAGAAAGGCCGTGAAGTCCTCAATCTGGCTAGCTGGTGTCCTATCTGAGGCATGAACCAGTCACTTCCCAAATAAAAGTTTAGAGCTTTGCTGCTGCACCAGCCTGCTAATTTCCTTTCTAAGCAAGGATAGGTGTATTGTATTATAGTCATTTTGAGAGCCACCAGCACAACATTTAATTGTTAAACCAATATTATGATCTATATGTAATAATACAAATGCCGTCGTGAATGCAACAATTTATTTGGTTGTAGTTCTTTGTCTTTTCTTCCTCTACGCTACATGTTTCGGCCATAACTGGCCATCATCAGGTGTATTTTTCACTACGTAGCTGTCACACTGCACACAGTCCAAAATCTAAAACAGCAGCCTGTCAGTTTAGTTTAAAATCTCGCCAACATACGCTCGTCAGTTTGATTTTAGAATTGCAATTTAAAATTTTTAAAATTCAAAATTTAAAGTTTTAAGACAAAGATAAAGAACTACAACCAAATAAATTGTTGCATTCTCGACGGCATTTGTATTATTACATATAGAAGTGTATAGTGCAACAGGATGCTTAAATATAATACAGTATTATGATGTTTGATGTTTGGTTTATACATTTCACTACATGTTTCAGTCAGCAGAGATCATCATCAGGTGGTCTATGAAAACATATCTGTCATCAGTGAATTATCTATTAAAACAGGCTAAAGAAATTAAGAGATAATTCAGTGATGCCATGTATTTGTGTACTACCTGATGATGATCTTTGCGGATCAAAACGTGTAGTGGAATGTAAATAAAGTGAATATCATATGTTCTTATATCAGTTTTAGTCATTTGTTGTGTTCATGACTTTCAAAATATACCTTTACTACACAATGCACAACAGGACACAAAAAATAAAGATTATTGTTTTATGTTTATATTTGTTTCCTCCTCCTTATCATCTCGGCTACTGGGCTTTATGAATAGAAATGAATCGCCAAACCATATCATGGCGTATAGACCCATTGCTAAGCGGTGACTGTAAACAGCAGCTGTTGCTAGGTTAATGCCTGCGACATACACGCAATGAAAGCAGAACTGCGTTTTCTATGTGGTTTGTGCTGAGATGTTATAACTGGGAGGTTTGGAGCTTAATGAGTAATCTGAAACCAATGTGGAGGCAGGGTTGAATACCTCCACCGTGACCCTGTGAGTTGCAGGAGGTGACAAAAAGGGAAGTCTCAAATCTGAGACAGTAAAATATGGTCGTGAGTCCCAAGGAACTCAGACCTGAGAAAGACTGTGCTGGCAAGGGCCAGCAGCACATACAAGAGAGAGACCCGTCCTCTCATCAGAGAGGGCGCCCCATAAAAACAAGACAGTAACTGTCAAACGGTAATAAATTTCTGGTCATGAGCCAGATGAGGCTCAACACCAAGGCTCAGTTGAGTTCTGCAGGGGAGGCTGTGAAGAGAGGACCTGAGTGCAAGGAGCTGAAGAATCTCCACTGTTAGAAGCAATTGCCAGGGAACAGCTGGTGAAGACATGTCAGGCTACAAAGGCTTAGCAAATGCTATGGTAATTTGTGAATTGTGAAGATTATCAGTGATGCTGTAATTGCTTGTAGTTCCGAGTTGTGTGCATAAGTGGTCAGTAAATCTATTCACCATTCCAAACCCCATGACAGTATATTCTGGTCCCTAGGTTTGTACATTCTGTATCTGATGTGTAATTTTTGTGTATGAGGCCTAGCTGTGTCTTTTGTTGAAGCTGTTCCTGTGTTTGGTGTACATTTCAGTCGCCATCTTCAGAATGACAAGTGGAAGGAGGATGTGGGCCAATATATAGGACTTATGGTAGAAAAAAAGGGGTTTCAGCATGGTGCTTTCCATTGGGAAGGAGCCATGGCATAATATGTTTTTCCCATTCGGAGTAAGATTGGGGATGTGAAAATGGTATTTTCCATAGGAAAGTCCTGTGGTTATGAAGAAAGTCTGAAGAAAAGGAAGTGACACCAGACTTTATTTATTTTGAATTTGTCCACAGTGCTGAAGTTATGGTGATATTTGACTATTTTAATGGCTTCCCTGAAGATAAAGGGATGGTAATTGTGGGCGTTTGCTACGGCTTCATTTCTATCAAATCTGATGCCATATTTGGTCTTGGCAGTATGTTTGTTTATTGTTGGTTTTGTAGCCTGGTGTCTCTGGTTGTGTGCTTATATCATAGTGGAGGTGTGACGTTGCATTTGACTTATGGTCACTGTCACAAGTCTAGGGGATCTTGTAATTGCTGAATTTTTGTGTTGGGGGTTGCTTGTTCTTGATCAGTCTTGTGACAGACTGTCATTTTCTTTAGTGATTTGTGAATACTGCGGATCCCTTTTCTTGAGTAGTGCAACAGTGTGGTCTGTTGCTCCCTGAATGTAAGGGATAAGGCTTGTGGCCTCTTATCAACTTTTCTCGATATTTTTGTTTTCCTCATCCTCCGATGACATCCTTGTGGGAGTAACCAGCTGGTCTCTGAGCCACTGTTTACTCTGTCAAACTGCATTTTGTGTGACTCTCTTTATTTCTGAATTATTATATCACATCAGAAATATTAGATACAAACCAAAAAAGGAAAAAGAATATGCTTTAGCAGAATTCAGCAATAACTGGAACTAGTTTTAACTAAGTATTAGAACAAGGAACTCCTATGTTCTTTCACTCTTGAAGCACTGAAATGGTAGGAATAATGGTAACCAGCTTGATTTGCACTTTGAAGGTGCTCAGTTTGAATCTTGGCCAGGACACTGGCAGTCCTGAGTAAGGTGGTTCATGGTTATAAAGGGTTAATCAAAACCACCCAGCGCGACTGTTAAAATGTTTTTTCCTACTTTCCTTTTTAATCTTTCATCCTTGACATGTTTCGGTTTTAGAGACCATCTTCAGAAGGATATATCAATCAATCCTCCTGATGATGGTCTCTAAACATGACAGACCAGGATGAACCAAATCACATGGTTCATGGTATTTCTTAATTCTTCCACGCAAATGCCAGGATGGTATCTTGATTAGGCCCTGCCTTTTTCCATTAAAATCCTTTCCACTTCATCATACCATTCAACTCTGTATAGTCTGTGTATAATAATATGGTAAAATAAACCACAGAAACTGCAAGTGCTGAAGATTCTCCTCTAAAACAACTTTGTTGAGATATTTATATTTATTCCAGATTATCATGCCTTTAGGAAAGTAAATGTCATTTAATTGTTATTTTACAGGAGAACCTCTCTCGCCCAGTTTACCTACCAAAAACAGCTACAGAACAGTTGAAGGAGATATTTGAGAAGCAACGGAGAAGTATGTCATCACTGGATGCGAAACAAGCAGAATGATGGAAGGTACTTGAATTGTGGTAGAAAGTTGATGAATGTTTTTGTTTTTCATTATCATCAGTACAAAGCCAGTAATGGCATGATAAATCCAAACTTGTTAGTTTTTAATTTGTTTCATTCTGGTCCATCACACTAATAATATGAAAAAGTTAAGTATTTCTGTCCAGTGTGACTGGTTAAGATTTGTTCCTATTTCAATTATTCATGCCCTTACAAGATGGTCTCTGAAGACCAAAACATGTAAGGGCATGAATAATTGAAATAAGAAAAAAATCTTAACCATTCACACTGGACGGAAATGTTTAACTTGTTCTTATTAGTTTTGTTGTTAAAACATGACCTTATATTTTATTTTTGGTCTGCTTGCTTGCTAACTTTTCCATTTACCTTTCCTTTCATTTCTTTGGATATGTTTAATTTTTTTTTTTTTTAATTTAAATGGAAACTTGATGGAATTAAAAATTTTATGGTTAATTAACTCCAGTTTGCATTTTTGAATGAACTGGAATATACACACAAAACTTGTGGGAAGGATGTGAAGTATCTTCAGGCATTGCCTGGATATGGGGGGGAAAACCTTGTATCTCCCATGGAGAGAGGAAGGTTAATGGGCTGGACAAATAAAGGGAATGGGAAAAGAATATGGGAGGAAGGCTGGAAGGAGACAAAGGTATGAATAGTACAGAAGAATGGAAGAATGGGGGTGAGGGAAGTTTCAACATGAAAGAGAGGGCAAAAGAAGGGGGAGAGGAATGACATGACAGACAAGTAAAATGCATGTGAAAGCAATAAAGGAGAAAGGGTGACAGGAGATAATGAGAGGGGTAAAGAAAAGGAAGAAAAAGCGATTTTCTTTGTCATCTGAAAAGACACAGACATGAAATTTTAGGCACCCTGGTGACCTGGCATTCACTTGTGCGGCCTGCCTGTTATTCAGCCATTAGCGCTTATGTGTCTCTTTTCGAATGAAATTTTCAATACTTCTCTGCCATGTACTGGCAAAACCACCAAGATACATTGCCTCTAAAATACAGAAACTTTCAAGTTCGTTATTTAATGATGCTCTCAGTATGGTGACTGTATAGTGCCATATGATTAATGTATGTGAAGCAGTTGGTGGAATGAGAAAAAACAGGGAAAACTGAAGTGCTTAGAGAAAATCTGCTTCAGGGACACTTTATCTGCCACATGACCTGACCAGGGATTGAACCTGGGTTGCCATGGTGAGAAGCTGGAGACTAACTGCCTGAACTATGGCACAGGCTCCAAAATATGTGAGACAAAGATGGTTACCAACATGACGTTTGTTAAGTCAATGAAACGGTATACTGAAGGCATGCCTGCATTAACCACAGCAATTCTTGGACCTGGGTTGCATAGAAGGAAAGAAGTCCAGGTTAACCATGAACCACCCTCTATCAATTATGAAATGAAGCCCTCAAGTGAATAAGGGTACATTAAAATTAGAGTTCTGTTTTGCCTTATATACAAATTAAAATTACAATTAAACTATGAAATATGACTTATGGAAGTATAGTAATATAACTGTCTTTAGTACATTATAATCTGCTCATCTGCTAATCTATTTCAGCCTATTTATATTGTCGCGTCTTTCCTAGGCAACACGGCAAGAAATTGTGTGGGTCTCAAATTTGGATGAATACGTTTATTGGACAATCACTCTTTACACTCACAAATACAATTATTCACACTTATAACATCTTTGGATGTTTCCTCTTCAATGTTATACACTCTCGCACCGCTAAACTTGGTAAAGTGTCTTCTGCTCTGCTCAGAGCTCAACTGTCCTTAGCTCTCATGAAATACGAACTAACTGTCCTCTTGTCAGATGAGAACTGTTATATCCTGCACTCGGGTTGAACAGGGAACACCTTGTCAAAGAGTTCTTTTGCCCGCTGCTATAGAACGAATCTCTTATTGCCACAGGAATACGTGTTTATTGTTTCAAACAATTCGTTACGAAAAACGGTGGAAACCCCATTGTTAGACTTTCATCTCCGGGACAACGATTTCCTAGGCACTGTTGCCTAGGAATTGCTAGCTGTTGACGAGTGATGGACAACTTATCGTCCTGCCTTTCTGGCAGCACATCACAGTATATTTATGGTTTATTCAACAATGCTGTTAATACTTCAGACTATATAGCAACAAGTGATAGGATGATTGGTGCATAATGAATTAGAAAGGATGTAGAAGGATCCAGTTGTGGAATAGTTGAGGTACTGTCCAGGCATTTGCTTGCAGAGACAGAGGAAACCCATGAAAACCTGAGGATAGCTGTTATTAGGACTGGGATCTGAACCAGCCACCTCTAGAATACGAGTCAGAAGCACTACTTCTTGAGCCAGCTTGCTTAGTTTCAGCCTAGTTTAGGCCATCCTTAGGGGCATTGTTCATAACTATAGTGATCTACTGGGTTACATGGTATAACTTATTACAGTATTTAAGATTTACATATGGACTGAAACATAGGTCAACACTGGAGTATTGTAACCCTGTGTTGTATTAAACTGTACTTAGCAAGCACATCTGTTTTTCATATCATAGATGCAGATTCTGATTAAAATTTCTAACATAATAAAGGCTTACAATCTTCATCATTAATCGTATGTTTTAATTCATATGAACTTTTTAAGTACTTAAAAATAATATGTAACTCTAATTTACTAAAGATATGAATGGCATTCCTGAAGATAGCATGTATAGGTCATAACATGCTGAATACAGTGCACCAAAGGGTGTTCTATTAATATGCTTTGTATGAGGTGTGTTTGATGGGTTTCATTCTAATTTTAACTGGGGTAACCATAATTTCCAGATGTTTTAATGTTTCTATGAATACAAGTGTCTTCAGAGTCTTTCATTGTTATTTCAGTGACATGAGACTGGTTCTTGATTGTTCACAAACAGTGTGAGACGGACATCCTGTAGTGATATCAGGCATCATAGCATGCAAAAAATAGATGGCTTCATAATTATTACAAAAATAGTTGTTGAACTTTTTGTACATATTTCATGAGAGATGGCAAGTAATGTAATAAAACTGATTACATGTGAATCTAGCTCAGATATTTTGATGAACTTTTCCCTTCAATTCCATGGTTCATTAATGGTTTGCAAAATTCTGATGGCAGGTTTGTGTTGTTATAATCAGAACGAGGTGAAACTCGGCCTTTATTGAAAACTGAACCCCTGTAGTCAGGCAGTACTGAGAATCTACTAATGTTGGTCCTGTGTTTTAGAAGAATTTTATTTTCTTGTAGTATGTTCCAACTGAATGATTGTACAGCCACACTAACATTTTTGAAGAGGGAAATGATCACTGATCACTGAACATTGTGTTTTAAGGTACAGATCAGGTCAAGTTTCTGGAAGGAGAGAGGGCACAACATACTATGAAGAAACTCTTTAGGAAAAGTAATTCTCATTCTCTTCCAAGAAAGGGATTCATGGAATCTGGGGAGCTGCTGTGTATCTGCCATGTTACAAAATATCATTAAATAATTAGTTGCATTAAAGCAGTGTAAAATCTTTCATGTTTCATTTTTAACATAAAAACTGCATATGTACAATGCTTCTGAACCTGTATGTGAATTGAGCAGTTTTGTTATACTGTTTCATGAAGCAGCTGTTAAGAACTGGTTGCAAAAAAGGATAGATGAAGTAGGAACAAGGAAAAAATTTCATATGCAGTGAATGGCATATCCCTAAACATCATAAAAGATAAAGTTTGAAGGGACTGGATAAGATGGTAGGAGGGTCAAAGTTCAAGATTCACATGTTCAAATATCTAAAAAGATGTGAGTCACTATGGGTATTATAATGTTATACTTTGGCTACTGGCATTTTTTAAAACAGTGGCAGATTTCTTCATTCCATTTCATTTCATACTGAAAAAAAATGTTTCACATAAAATATCTAAACCTAAGTAGATCTAGGTCAGGTACTGGGTTTTGAGGAAATTAGTAAAGTTTGGTTTAAGCAGGGTAATATTAATCTCGTGTATTTCGTTGTAATCCATTTGGTAGTTTTGGAGATGAAACAGATGGAAGGATTGTTGGATGGACACAAACACCACTTCTTCCATCACGCATCCATCTTATGCATGTCACACAAATAACACAGGGAGTCACAGTTCCTTTTATAACTCAATTACTCTTCATTCTGAAAAATAACTTCTCCTTATGGAAACTTTATTACTATATATTTACATTTAAGTCAAAGGGAAAAAGGTATAAAAATTAGACAAATTTGTGATAAGACAGGAAAAGACTGAGAATCCATTAACATAAACACAAACTCATTAGATGCAAAGTGAGACTATGAACCTGTGAAAGCACACTAAGCAAAAAATGAAATTATGTCAAATTTTCACACATACAAACACAATGAGATCGTAGTTGATATGGGATCACAAAAATGAAATTCCTAAGAAGCATTCAAAATGAGAAGAGTGAAATGAAAAATAAAGACAGGCAGGCTTAAGTTCTAGAAAGGAAATTTTACATGTAGTGAGAATGCAGTGATATGCCAGTTGTAGATGGGATAGAAAGATGGTCCACGTCACAGTGATGATATTTAGAAGACTAGTATTAAGATAGACAGGAACATAAAACTAGAAATGATAATGAGAAGAAAGGATGAACGTCAGAGCCGAGAAAAAAGTATATGGGAAAATATTAGAAAAGCCTTTACATTCAGTTAATTCACTTTATGAAAATTCTGATGAATGTGGAATTCTCACAAGCTGTATTCTGGTAACTAAGGTGTTTGAATGCCTGATAGGAATCATAAATGTGCAGACATACCACTTAATCATACATTCCTTTGAACAAGCATTCTACCTCACTGTTTACATGATACACATCAGAACAGAACAAATTCAAGTGCAAGGAATCTGTTATCTTTCCATGTGTGTATTTGTTTGTTTACAATCAGTGCACTGTAAGTACTGTAGATGGCACATTCCACTCATACTGTTAAGGTAATCAATTCTACATAATATGTCCACCACAAATGTAAATGAAGTACAAGAAGACACTAAGACACCTACTGGCAGGGAAGTAGAATGGGCAGTCAGAAGAATATATGCCTAGCATCTGATGGATTCTGTTCAACTGGACAGTATGGGCACTTCAATCTGAAACAGATAACACACATTAATAGTCATTTGCCCATGACAACCCAGTAACTGTTATTGCTACAAATTCAGTCTTTATCACTAAATGAATGTTACTCTTTACTTTTATAGGATTGAAGGGTTATAATTCCCCCTTTCACGTGGCATTCAATAAGCAGACTGCGTGTCTAATCTCTTGATTCTGTCAAGGATATCAGTTGCTTATTAGCCAATTCTTGTGAAGCTAGGTATGAACAATCAGACTATACTGGGTGGGTCTCAAAGACATTTTACATCCATCACACCTTCAAGGATTGGATGAACTGCCATAAAACCAATACATGATTTTCCTATATAAAACCTCACGTTTTCACAGGACCTTAATGCAGTGGAGCCTTCTCAGATGATTAGCTGTGTCACTATACATTGATATTCATCATCAATATGACAGATCTTTTAAGAAGTCTTTTTATTGCACTGTCATGTTTCTCATTTAACTATTACTGTTCTTTCAAAGCACCTTACCATATTTTTAAATGTTTAGCTCTCAAAATTTTCCAGTAGAATACCTCTGGAGTGTGATTTATGCAAAGATGTCTGGAAATATTACATTTCTCTTGAAAGACTGTCTATAAAAATTAAAACTTTTATCTAAAATTGGGTAGGCCTGATAGGATTGAACAAAACATGGGGTTCCCCCCCCCCAACTCCATTACGTTTCATTAATTTTTCAACAAAGAAAAACAAATCTGAGATCCATAAAGAAGTCTTTTAATTTCAGATCTTACACCACATGTCATCAATATGTTTCTCTGGTGATGCACAGTGTACTTTCCTGCTGTATATGCACAGCTACAAGGTCATACTGCACGTAATGTAACATGAAACATATCAGACAATGATTCCTGCCAAATGACATATACTCCAGCTCTCTTTCGATTTTATAACTGCTGTCATTTCTATTATTAGATGATGGTGACTACACTTTACAGATTGTTTTGTCTTTCAGTCTTGAACTACAGGAATATTAATTGTTACTTTAATTTTTAAACAGAAGAGTTTAGGGTTTGTCAATTATGTGATAAAGTACTGTATAATTACAGACTTACCCATTCATTATATACCCTTTAACATTCCCTACATCACACTCATGATATCAGAATATGATATGGTTTACAATGTACACTCTGAATTGAGAATTACTCCCCCTCAATCCAAAGTCCAACCAACTACTTAACGCAGAACGACACAGAACTCACTTGTTGCCATTACTAAGTTTATTGAGGGCATCACGTGAAATCACATGTCCACAGATAAGTCTCATAGGAGGATTCGACTCGGTGCTCTGCTGTCTCAGTATAGGACATGCAAACATAGAGTGGTACCGACTGTCCTGCCCCAGGTCTATTTCAATCTGCAACAAAGTACACAGCACCAAATGATTAAAGGAAGGCACTTTGCTGCAGTCATCAAATGTACATCATTTTTTCCTAGGTGAAGGTTAGTGGACTTGTTTAGAACATTTGTGGTTTGTGTGGACTGCAGTTACTGACTGAATTATATATATATAACATTTTAACATGGATTTGCCATTAGAAGCCACAAAATGTCAGAAAGTAATTGTTTAATTTTGTGCACTCCTTCAGAAACACATTCCTTGCAGCTACAAGATTGCTGCATTCAATCAAAAGTTTCCTTCAGCCATCACAATCTCTTGCATGGTTCAATGTCTGTTACAAAGAGTAAACACTGACTCCTGATAACTGGCATTTTGATACATTTGCAACTGTTAAATTCTTGCATTTGAACCATTTCTGTTAATCTGTTAGATGTGATAAAGGTTACATGAATATTGAATTTCTTACTACTAATTTCTGCACTGATTGATGAATGTCTGGATGGTTTAAAAGAGTAAGGAAAAAGATAATGAAGCCAGTTTAAATAAACACAATAAGGGTAGTTCAAGTATAGGGACAATATGTAATTAATCTATGTGCAAACAGTACAATGCAAAAATCTGTCTTGGAAGTGTTCATTCTAATTAATCATTTTCTAGATGAGAAGGAAATAAAATGGGAGAATTGCATAGGACTCTGCACTGACAGCCTAAAATGTGATTCTAAAATGAAAAAGTGAGGCGATTTGAGAAAGCTGTTTTTTGACCCATACTTGCACGTGTGCATGCATGGACGCAGTCCAGATAAGGGGAGATGGGGTGGATTCCATGAAATCTTTGCCAAGCTGAGGTGTCACATGAAGTTAAAAAAAACTGTAGCATAAATTATGAACTTGTTTAAAAATAGAAACAACAGAACTCTAACACTTGGTTCTGAAATATTTTATGATGATGGTTATTTGCAAATTATAGAAATGTAAAGATAATTGGGGGGAACAAGTGTTCTATTCATTGGCTCTGTCAACAACAGATTTATGTTTATAATAAATGTTTGTCAAAAGACAGTGAGTTGGTCTAGAAGTAAACACAGCGAAAACTAAGTATATGTTACTGTCTCGTCACCAAAATGCAGGTCATAATCATGACATAAAAATAGGAAACAGATGTTTTCAAAATATGGCACAGTTCAGATATTTGGGGACAACGATAACAGATCAAAACCTGATTCAGGATGTTATTAAGAGGCAACTGAGCTCGAGTAATGCTTGCTACCATTCAGTCCAGAACCTTTTGTCTTCTCATCTGTTGGCCAAAAACAAAAAGTAGAATATACAAAACTATAATTTTGCCTGTGGTTCTGTATGGGTGTGAAACTTGGTATCTGACATTAAGGGAGGAACATAGACTGAGGGTGTTTGAGAACAGGGTGTTGAGAATATTTGGACCAAAGAGAGATGAAGTTACAGGAGGTTGGAGAAAACTGCATAATGAGGAGCTTCATAACTTGTACTCTTCTCCAAGTATAATTAGAATGATCAAGTCAAGGAGGATGAGGTGGGCAGGTCATGTAGCACGAATGGGGGAGTCGAGGAATGTGTATAGGATATTGGTGGGAAAGCCAGAAGGAAAGAGACCACAGGGAAGACCAAGGCGTAGGTGGGTGGACAATATTAGGATGGGATATGGATTGGATAGATCTGGCTCAGGATAGGAACCAGTGGAGGGCTCTTGTGAACACGGTAATGAACCTTCGGGTCCGATAAAATGCTGGGAAATTTTTGAGTAGCTGCACAATAGGCAGCTCCTCCAGAAGGGCTCAGCTCCATGAGTAAGTAAGTAAAGACAGTGATGCAAAATAATGATGAATGTATTTATTGTAATTTTGTAACTTCAACACTGATTCTACGAAGTTATTTTACATTCAGGTGTATATACGAATTGGTTGGTTGGTCAGTGACAAAATACTATTTCATCATCAGTATATGCAGTAACCAAGATAACAAATGCTCCTTACTGGTAGTTCATCCTTTCCATTCCAGATTCCTGTTACCTGTCGCTGCTGCATCACTTGTTTGATATTTAAGAGGGCTGGTAATGCTGTACAACCTGCATTTATACTGCAATAGCAAATACTACAATTAGATTTACTGCACCCACATCAAGACCTTATATACAAAAGCTAAAGGCAAAAGGGTAACTTTGTTCCTGTGGCTTAACACATTGCAATAAACACATGTATGGCATGTAGAGATTAAGATCCAGATGTTACAGAAGTTTGCACTAGATGAAGATTACTTGTCAGCTTCAACCTCCAGCCACTTTACTGCCAAGGAGACTCCTGTCTCAAAAAAGGCGAGGGTTAGTTATAAAACATGCTGGTGGTAGCCAAGGTTTCATACCATGTACACATTTGTTTCATGTCTTACAGAAGTATATAAACCTATCATAGAGATACAAATTTAAAAATTATGGAATGTAGGAATTAACTTTACAGTGCATTTTGAATAAACAAAATCATGTAAATATATTAATAACTATAACAGTGGTTTAATATAGTCCATCTTTAAAGCTGACATGGAAGTGTGTAAATAGGAATAAATGTCATAGCTCACCAGACAGACAGGGGGCTATCCACACTCAGACCCAACAGCGAACAGGCATCACGGGTAAACACATCATAGATCTCAACCCATAGGTTTGGATCCAAAAGGTGACTGTAGGGGGAGGAATTTATTCCATGTGGCAGGTATAGGAACATTCCCATAAGATTCTGAATCTCTGCAAAATAACATTATCTAGTAAATGAATAATCAATCAGCATAAAACTGTATTGGCGTAAGATGATAAGACTGGACAAGGAATAGTATAATACACTGCATTCAATACACAGTGAAATCATCAGAAGTATCTAGACCATCAGTCAAAACAACATACAAACTAGTACCACATATTGACACTTGTGGGTTATTAATTATTATTTCCTTAGATCCTGAATGCATAGTTGGGCAGCCCAGGATATGGCTTATCTAGTGTCACATAGCACTCAGGCAGTTTGACTCTTATACTGAACAAACATGCAGGCTTTCAGTCTACGTTCCGTCTGCAGTGTCTCAGTGTGTACCTCTGAATGCATAATTTTGTGGGTCAGAACATTCCCTTCTTGTCACATCATAACATACAAATTTGAATTCCATACTCATGACTCTGCAAAGTCTCTGTGTACAGTAGCAACACTTCACTGTGTACCTCTCTGAACATACAGTCATGTGGGTCAGAATATTACTTATTTCTCATCAATCATGATGTGTGGATGTTTGAATCCCATACTGCATGAATGTGCAGATTTGTATCTACAGAAGCAGTGCTTAAGTACATATCTCTAAGCACACAGCCGTGTGAGTCAGAACATCACATCTCACCATGTTACAGAAACCAAATGTTTGAATTCATATTGCATGAACTTGCAAACCTTTGTGTACAATTAAGTTTTTATTATCTGTCAAGACTGCACTAGATGGTGAGAAACAGAAAAATAAAATGGAGATGGAAAAGGAGTAAAAAAACAATGATGAAAAATATGGTGAGAAGAAAATGACAAAAAGGCAGAGGAGGAGGAGGTGGTGGTGGTGAAGGATGAAGATGCAGTATAAGAAAACAGATTCTTTTATATGTATACTCCTATTGTTCACAACATAGTGTCCTAAAATGCAGTCATTCCTGATTATCTGGGCCTGAGAGGGTTACAAAAAACAAACCAGAGATAATGTTTCTTTATTAGAATAATCCAGTTACTGTTGATACATTCATATACAGCACATGTAACCAAATATCTAACTCTCTGGCCACTGTATGACTAGAATTGAGCAAACTCATATACTCCCAATATACACCCACTAACAGTCATTAAATAGGTGTTCTGCTGTTCATGCTAGCGTTTAAAAGAAAGTCCATCTTTATAACAAAAAGCAGCCATTGGACCCTGACTGAAGCTAATTATATCTAGCCTACCCTAAATTCATTTTAATAGTATCATTTCCTTATATCTTGAGTTCACAGGTCAACTAAAACTACTAGTTCTCAACCATTTCTGATTCACAAACCAGTAAATGGCAGTGGGTCTTCCAAGGGCCAATACCATGTATCCTAGGTCAGGTAATGTGGGATCTGTGGTGAAGAAAGTGGCGCTAGGGTGGGTTTTGTCTAAGTACTTCAGTTTCCCCTGCCAGTTCTCATTCCACCAACTGCACCACATTCATTAATCATCCTATCGACACTACATAGTCTCAATACTGACAGCATTATTAAATAACAAATTTAAAGGAAGGATGTTTTACATTGTACAGCAGAAATGAAGTCTACAAATGTACTTCTTACTAGCATGCCCAAAGATGGTTATTTACAGCACAGCTGTTAATGTCTTTATAAATAATGCCTTTAAAAACCCTGCGAATGGTGTATTTTTCTTATTTTCATTCTATCATTAAGTATGGAATAGTCCTCTGGGGCAATTTGACTAATAATTCTATAGTTTTTAAATTACAAAAGAAAGTAATAAGGATCATATTGGGAGTGGGACCCAGAGACTCATGTAGAAGCCTTTTTAAGAAATTAAATATTTTACCATTGTCATGTGAATACATTTATTCTTCAATGTTGTTTGTGATAGATAATCAAAATAATTTCTGTTCAGGTTCAGAGGTTCATGGCCTGAACACTAGAATCAAAACTCAAATTTATATTCCAACTTCAAATCTTTATGTTTTCCAGAAGGGCACTATGTTTACTGGTATTAGGTTATTTAATAGATTGCCAAAGACCATTGAAAGTCTTAGAAAGGACAGAATCAGTTTCAAAAATAATTTATTTTCATATCTCATGAATAACTCATTTTATACAGTTTANAATATTTTACCATTGTCATGTGAATACATTTATTCTTCAATGTTGTTTGTGATAGATAATCAAAATAATTTCTGTTCAGGTTCAGAGGTTCATGGCCTGAACACTAGAATCAAAACTCAAATTTATATTCCAACTTCAAATCTTTATGTTTTCCAGAAGGGCACTATGTTTACTGGTATTAGGTTATTTAATAGATTGCCAAAGACCATTGAAAGTCTTAGAAAGGACAGAATCAGTTTCAAAAATAATTTATTTTCATATCTCATGAATAACTCATTTTATACAGTTTATGAATTTTTGGAGCATACAGTAAATAATTAGTTACAGTGTTTGTTTAGCTTTGTATTGTCTTTCTGCTTCGTTTATTTGTCTTATGCTTGTGACCAGTTTCATGTCCATTGTATTTTTGACTTGTGAAGTGTGAAATGTATGTATGTATAGTNTCAAAACTCAAATTTATATTCCAACTTCAAATCTTTATGTTTTCCAGAAGGGCACTATGTTTACTGGTATTAGGTTATTTAATAGATTGCCAAAGACCATTGAAAGTCTTAGAAAGGACAGAATCAGTTTCAAAAATAATTTATTTTCATATCTCATGAATAACTCATTTTATACAGTTTATGAATTTTTGGAGCATACAGTAAATAATTAGTTACAGTGTTTGTTTAGCTTTGTATTGTCTTTCTGCTTCGTTTATTTGTCTTATGCTTGTGACCAGTTTCATGTCCATTGTATTTTTGACTTGTGAAGTGTGAAATGTATGTATGTATAGTATTAAAATCAAAAAGATATCATAATCACTGATATATACACTGGTCATTCACAATTTAAAATTAGGTATAGCAGCATAAGGAATAATACTCAAAATAATATGCAGTGTTTAAGTTGGTACATAACAAAAATTAAAATATAACTGCCTTACCTAGCAAGACCAAGGCATAAAACAACACAAATTATTTAGTTGCTAAAAGAAAATTAACAATAAAAATTACTACCTGTAAAATAACTCTTCCCACTGTGGGTGGTGGTAGTTATAGCAGTTTTAGTTTTAGATGGAATACATGAAGGGGAGACCCAGGCATAGAAGGGAAGATAATATTAACACAGATCTCAAGGAAATAAGGTAAATATGCTGTTTGACTGTGAACTTAATTCATTTGGCTCTGACAAGCTCTTGTGAACGTCGTAGTGAACCTTCAGGTTCTGTAAAGTTGTGGAATTTCTTGAATAGCTGAGATTATTAACTTTTGAAGAAGGACTCTCCTTCCTGGATTTGTTAATTGTAAGAAGAACAAGCAGACCTATCAATACATGAACTACCAGTGGGAAACATAGCAAGGCAAAACTGCATATTGAGATCATGCCACACTCAACTGCATAATTGTTTTCGTGAACATGGAATATCAATTACCTTTCTCATGTTTATTAATGAACTGCTGGAAATGGGTGCGTGCATAATGGATTGCCTCAGCTTGGCCGGCTTGTCCTCGTTGTATTAAGTCAATGAACTGCAGACGATGCAACTTAAATTCTAATGACGAGTTCTGTGAAATGAATATGTGTATGACACATTGTATAAAATATACATATATCTGTTTTATATTTATGATGGCTGTACAGCAGTAACTTAAGGTTATTCTGAAATTTGGAACAAACTGCAATTTCATATTAGTACCCCTGGTCCCCAGCCTATTTTGCCCAGGAGACTTGTCTTTTGGAGAATTTAATACATCATTTGGATAGAATAACAAATAAGAGAATACTGATAGAGACTGCAGTATAAACTGCAAGGAAGCTGACACCCAGGAAGACTTCAGGAAAAGTGGAATAATTATGTGATGTAAGGACAGCATAATTGCTGTAAACATAGGTACCCAGCAGCCTAATACAATGGTAATGCTCGAGCCCCATATTTTGAAGATTCTGGATTTGATTCTTGGCTGGGACACAGGCTATCCTGACAGGTCTTTTGTTTCCTGCGTTCCTCCAGGCAAATGCTGGGATACTACCTTCACCAGGCAACATCTGCTCTTTTCCAATTGATTATTCACCAATGACCTACTATCTGACACTACAGTCTGGAGATACTGACAGTGTCATAAGAGAAACAACAACGTGGAAAGTGCAGAAGACATTATGAATGGTATGTTGTACAATGGCTGTAGAAATAAATCTGTATACTTGTGTGTCCAGACTCTCTCGATGTGACTGAGCCCACTCCAGAGCTGGGCCTAGATCTCTCTGCTTCAGTGAGTCAAGGATTCTGTTGAGTTCTGAGAAAGGTTCCTTACCACCATCTTCCATTTTTAAACCAGCCTCCTGCATAAAACATGAATTTAATTAACATTACAAGTAAATATTCTATGGTATTCTAATGTAATCTAGAAGGCAGATGACAAAGGAAACAGCACCAAATATAGTTATGGGTCAACATCAATAGTGGTCAAACATTTCACTAGAATGAAATTTAAAATTACAATTGCTTTGCCATAATGAGGTCATATTCCAATGTCAGAAAAATTCTTTTAAAGGAGTTTTTAAACATTAACACACACAATCATTGCCGGTACTCCCTCGGTTTACGTGACCAAAAGTGTTGCTTACAATTCCTGATAAACTCTGCCAGTATTCAGTATAAATATGTACATTACAATGGTCAAACTGGAGACAAATTTCAATCTACCTTCAAATTTGATTTATTATGCTCCAGTAGTGGAAGAGTTTGCTGAAATGTCGTGAAATAAGACCTCGAGGCGTATTCTTGCGACATCACTTTATTACTCAATGACACAACTACAGTTCAGCATAACTATAACACAGAATGTTGAACAAGTCATTTCACAGTCGGTCCTTTCGTGTTAACAACTCACTAGAATGTAGAACTGTCAAATTCCAAGTCCAAGTCGCATTGCGACTGACAATCAGTCAGTCAATAAATCTTGGTGTTGAGCCCCACTAGGGCTCATGACCAGATATTTATTACTGTTTGGCATTTACGGTCTTGTTTTTGTGGGGCGCCCTCTCTGATGAGGACGGGTCTGCCTTTTGTAAATGCTGCTGGCCCTTGCCAGTGCAGTCATTCTCGGGTCTTGAGTCCATTGGTACTCGCGACAATATTTTACTGTCTCAGATTTGAGACTTCCCTTTTCGTTGCCTCCTACGACTCGCAGGGTCACGGTGGAGGTATTCGACCCCGTCTCCACACACCCGTCTTGCTGTCAAACTCCCACTCAGTGTATCTTCTTATATAATCTAGTCGGACCTACAGAAAACATATCACTGTCCATATTGTTTGAGGCTTTGCCTAGCACTGGCTGTTTACTCAGCCGTTGCTAGGCAGCGAGGGGTTTCTAGCTTACAACTGGCTAGCACACAATCCACTGTGGGTGCTTCCTTTAGTCACATATTGTTGTAGACCTTACACAGCAATGACTGTTTACTCACTGCTGCTAAGCAATGGTACCTGAGCTGTCACTGTAATATTTCCGGGGTAACATCGTTAGGCAAATAACACGCAACAACTAGTAGAGCAAACACTATGCAGTCATGGATCATAAGTAGAGGAATTAAAGGGGAAAGAAGTCTCAGTTCCTAACAAAAGGTGTACATAAACACAAATACTGATAACATCTTCCTTCCAAAGTCCTTAAAATTAGTATAATACTTTTAAAAAAAGTCATTCAGTTCCAGCTGAAGCTTATCTGGATCCTCTTCTGATCAGAGAAGAAGCCAGCCAGCTGCAGAATTTCATTTCCTACTTCCTGAAAATCTGTGACAGGATTTTTCACCTTTGTTAAGGTGCAGCTGCACTACATCACTTGTTTGCTTTGTCGTGTACAAAAAATGCACATGTTTCCCTTTTCTTTAACTTGTTTCCAAAACAGAAGTTACTTTCCTCGCAAACCATCTATCACTGTGTATTACTCAAGGCAGTAGTTCCCTGAAGAATTACTTTTTGAAATAGTATGTGCATATAGCAGACAAAGGCTTTAAAGTCATATTTACAAGTTAGATGTGAGAACATTCAGTCTTTGTTTTTCAACCCCAAAAACATCAGTCTTTCTTTCTGTAAGCCCCATGTCACTTCAGGACTTTACTTAAAGGTCTCTACTATATAAAATTTGTTGCAGAAATTATGTGACCTGTTTTAAGGTACTATCAGAATATCCTTGGAGGGGCTGAGAACTTCCAGGCGAAGGTTTGAAGCTGCAAAACTTCTCCTACATCTCTGTCAATATAGAAAATAAAATAATAGCCCCTGAAGAGTTTAAGCGGCCAAAAAATAATTCCGTAAAGAAAATACAGCCTGTCTCTGAGTTTATTTCATAAAGCATCCTTATCTGCATGGGTTATATCGCAATGAAAACCAGGATGAATATGAATAATGAAATGGAACAGATGAGAATGGTACTAATCCTGAATTTGCCAGAAGTGAAGAAAACCGTGAAAAACATGGCTATGTTAGCTTGAACATGTACATAGTGGAGGCAGGGGATTGTGTTATTTAATGACGCTTTCAGTGTCAAGATTATAGTGCTGGACAATAGGATCACTGATGGATTATGAACTGGAAAAGCTATGGGAGGAAGCAACCTCAGCCTGAGATACTAGAGAAACTGAGAAAGCAATGAAAATCCTGGCATGATTTGAACTGAGTGCCTCCTAAATACAAGTCTATAGCATCACTTCTAAACCAACCTATTCAGGAGGCTGAGGAGACAAAAAAATAAATGCAATCAGAAATTTGATTGGGGAACCTCTTGGAAGACAAAAGTGTTACTGCCGATAACCTGGCAAAGATTTCAACTATGAATCTTATGAAATCAAATCTCAGAATCCTACTATTACACCAACCTGCTTGGTCTGTGAGAAGGAAGGATAATATTAAAATCAATCTTGGGGACTTAATTTATAATTATCTTATTATTATTATAAATTCAGACATATCTGTTTATAACCCAACATAATGGTTGTCATAGTTGTATTAACCATGTGTCCCACAGTAACGAGCACAAGAAGTTGCATTACCTGAGCCAGTTCATCTGCTATATCCAGCATTCCTTGTCTATAAAAGTGCTGACATATCACTTGGTTTAACAGTTGCACTTTGTCTGATCCAGAAAAAACATCTTCCCGACTCGTTGAGGCAAAATCTGCTACAAAAGACTGTAAAGGGAAAAATCAACTGCATTGCCACATAACAGGATTTGAGCAAAATAACCTGGGCTGTATATATTATTATAAAACTGCTTTGCTTCTATCTAAATCAAGACATGGCTAAAATATTACACTCCACACATGATATACTATGCCACATCCCAACCTTCTTACATTTCTCTTTCCTCCTGCAGCCTATGCAACTTATTTGCCCCCCACACAGCAGTTTAGGAATAAGACAAGACAGTAATGGAAACTTCTCCTGGTTCATGGAGCTAATGAAAATGATAAATCATGATTTACTTAAGTTATCAGAAGGGTCAAAGCTTCACTTAAAAGAACAGGGACTGCTGCCAACCAGATGAAAGTGTTCAGTGTGTAATAAAAGTTGTGAAATACACAGTTTGCATTCTTTTCATTAAAGTTGGTTTAGTTGAATTTTTTTTATATAAAAGTAGTTCATCTTACCAATAAATATTAATGGTTAAAATCGTATGTGACTGGGTGCTTTCATCTCTTACACTTCTCTTCCCCTCCATGCTCCTCATACTTCATTCTCAGTACAGTCTGTTTACCATACTTCAAATATCAGATCATGTCTGAACTTCAGGAGACTTTGTATCCAATCAGACATGCTTGGTTCTTCAATACCATATCAATGTAGCAATTGATATCACTGGGGCTGGGAATGCAATTATAGGTAGTGTACTGAGGATGATGTGGAAGACACAGTGGACAGTAACTGTTCTCCATTCCATCAATTTCCCCAAATACGAGGTTTGGAACTTTAATAGTGGCAACTATTTATTTACAGCTGATACAAAATAGATGCATGTTTCAAAGTTTTACTGTCCTTCAATGTCACTAGCATTGTGTACAACCCGTTGCCAGTGATGTGTAAGTCATAGGATACTTTTAGCAGCGTCTATTGTGTTGATAGTTCAAATGGCGCGGTCTACTGCCTGAAGAATCTCTGGAACAGTTCTGAAGCAAATGCCACAAAGTGGTTCCTTCATCTTAGGAATCAAGTCAAAGTCACAAGGGCTTAAGTCTGGGGAGTATGGTGGATGGTACAGCACTTCCCAGCCCCATCGATCGAACAAATCAGCCACAGCTTGCGCTGCATGCAGCCGAGCATTGTCCTGCAAAATGATGGGTGGGTTCTGCAGAAAGTGTCGCCGCTTCTTTAAGCTGGTCGCAGGTTGTGTTCCAAAAATGAAAAGTAATACTGCGCAATGACAATCTGCTGTCAGGGAATGGTATGCACTAGGATAACACCATCACAGTCATACATGAGAATCACCATAATTTTCACACTGCTGGGGTTCTGACGAACTTCTGATTTTCGTGGTGACCCGTAATGACACCATTCGTTCAACTGGCGTTTCATTTGTGCCTTGTACGATTTGGCCCATGTCTCATCCAGCGTAATGATAGGCGTAAGAAAGCCTCTCCTTCATGCTCATAGCACTCCAAGTGGTTACAAGCAGCGTCGTATCATAGCCATTTCTGCATTTCCGTCAAATCATGTGGAACCCATCGTGATGCAATTTTTCTCCTGCCCAGGCGTTCCTTCAGAATGTGAAGCACAGTTGTATGCGCTAATCCTGTCTCTCGGGCCAGCTCACAAATCGTATGGCGTCGATCACTCTCCAGTAATGCAGAAAGAGCATACATTTCTTGTTCACTGACACTAGGACGACCTGGCCAGCGCATGTCTGCCACATTTTGGCGTCCGTCATTGAAGGCTTTTACCCACCTTGCCAATGTTCTGTAAGGCAATGCAGATTCCCTGCAAGCCTCTTGAACACCTTAATGACAATGTCGTGCTGTACAGCCTCTGGCACATTCAATCTTTATCCAACTCCATTGTTCCTGTTTCAAAAACATTGTGACAACACTACATTAGACCGCCAGCTAACACGAGGTTCTGTTCTTCTTGTCACTGCGCATGCGCGTGATGTGAGAAGGGAGAGTCCATTTGAGGTAAGGTAGGTATGTAACTAATGTGTGGTATAGGCGACATTATTTGGTTCCGTTGCATGGCATCTCTACAGCAGTGTTGCCACTATTAAAGTTCCAACCCTCGTATGTTTTCTGATAACTGTACAGCAGGTGTTGACAGCTGTCATGTCCACCTTGTCTGGAATTCCATAAAGTATCAGAAGTGTATGGCCTTACATGAAAAGCCACAGAGGGCTACACCAAAATATTAAATATGATTTATGCAGATGCTTGGAAGTGTTGGCAAACAATGAGAAGCTCTTGTTTACACCAGTGTAAGGAATATTGACATCATCAAACAATGTATTTGGTGGCATAATGTTAGAGCTTAAACTTTTATACTAACCCCAAATCTAACCAAATACACTAAACTCTCCAATATCCAGCATGTATGGGAAATAGGGTGTTACAAGAATCTACTGGCTGCATGTGGAAAGCACATGCTTTGGAGAAACCCAGTACGGAGTGAAAACACATTTTTACTTTAGTTCTTGTGTTTGAGTCTTTCTAGGTGACAACGGATTCAGGGATGAAAGATTTCAGGTACATGTGTTATAATCAGGTCACAGATTCAATTAACCTCTACTGTAATGGCACCTGCATGAAGGAGAATAACATGTACTGCTGTTAGTGGCAGCTGAAAGAATACTGTGTGGTAGTTAACATAGGCACACTGCAAATTTAGTTTTGAATAACTTTATGAGAATGGTAATTTTTCTTTGAAATTTCTGCCAGTTGGATCAAAATTCTAGATGCGGGTAACTGGGAGTTTACTGTACTAGCATCAGTTGTGAAATTTCATGAAGTGACATTTTCTGGGAATACTTATCCATCACTTGATCCTCTGATAAACACAGTCTGTCCAACATGATGCTTTATGTCCAAACTGCCTTGCTCCAATGGTTAAAAAAGAAAAAAGGGCAGAGCTATCCCTGTAACAGGCCATGGAAGCCTATAGGGTTGTGAGATGTCGAGGCTCCCATATTTTATAGTCACTTGGCTCACAGATGGCAGTGAGGTTGACCATTTGAAATTAATGTTTAAGTGCCTCATCATTCAGCCAGTATGGAAGAAGAGCTTAATACATGTAGGATTTGAGGTTCTCACAGCAGTGGTTATGACAAGTTCTATCTTCTGGTATACAATGCCATATAGTCTGCTGGACCAACATTGTGGAGCAGCATGTCACCTCCACTTTCGGGTTGAAGAATAAGCGAAGCAAGGAACCAGCATGAAGCAAGTAGCAAACAGAGACTATATGGTGTTATATCTCAGAAGACAGGACTATTCAATTTAATACTTATTCCTCCAGATTTAGTACCACAGTACTACTACAACAGCTCTGTCATTATGATGACTAGGGCACCATCTGGACAACTGGGGTTTGATTTCTAGCAGGGGAAACAATTTTCTTCCTTGCCACTGTGTCCAAAGCAGCCGAGGTGTGATGCTGACCATTCATCTTCATCTAGCATCAAGGTTAAGAACAGATGGAGCAATGCCTCCACTCCCTCATCGTATGTTTTCATGGTGTGATGCTTAACTAAGCACATGGATAATTAGCTTTTAGTACATGCTATGGAGAGATATATAAGAAGCAAGAAAGTAAAGCTCCACACTGCATACTGTAACTTGCTTTTTGAATGGTAAACATCATTTTCTAGGATCTACACCACTGGCCTGTGTATCCTCCCATCCTCCTATAGACCATCTGATAAATGTTTAAACATATTTCTAGAAACTGTTTTTTAACATGTGTATGGGCTAGAAATGTCATCTAATGCACCTTCATTAAGCATCACAGATCTGTTGTAAACCAACAGGATCAATGTGCACTGGACATGAGATACTCGTGAAGCAATTCCATTTATGGGTTATTTTATTCGTAATGGTCATGGTACGTACTGAGTGACTGAGAGGCCCTTTTGTTATTTATGTGTATTACGTACGAGAGATCCACAAATTGATGTGTAACACATAATGCTGGCAAACTCCACATTTGGTATTAACTTAAATCAAATGAAAACACCTACCCTATCAATAGCTTTTCCTACTTTGGACACTGTGCTGTGTAGATCTCGGTGTTCTGAAGCTATTCTATGTACTGTTTCTCGGATCTTGTTCATTGTTTGTCGTAGTATCACTACCTGAGCAGCCGTCAATTCCTGATCTGGTGGAACTGAGAAAAATTAGCATATTGTGGTATTACTGAGCATTTCTTTTTTCGGAAAGAACAGTGTTATTCAATTGAAATTTAATATAATATAAGTCATGAAATATTAACTTGACCTTACATGACATACCTATTTACGAGCTGTCATTTAGGTGAACAGAAGTAACTTACCGATATCTAATTCATTCTTTAGTGACTCTATGTTTCTCGCTAGATCTTGTAGTACTCTGTCTGCGTGTTCATTAACGCCACTGAATTTTGATAACACTTTATCAATTTCTCTTTCAACTCCACTAATGGATTCCATCTTGGTTGTTTTGTGTGTTTTCTGCAAGATCAGCCAAAAACAAAACAACACAGACGTGCAAAACAAAGGCTTAGCTCGAACATGCAATCGATCTTTCCCGACAGTTCCTTGTACCGTGTGTCGGGTCTACCATCTATCAGGTGATTGCGTAAACGCTGAGACTATTTACATTAACGCTTACTAGAGAGCGCTCAAGTTACTATTGCTATATTTTAATCTATCCGAGAGTTTGCGTCTGTTAATTCTAATGTCACGCCTCAGGGTACACAAGCTATGGAAATAAATTACACGTTGCAATTTACAGATTTTCAAGCAACTAAATAGCTCTCTCGTGGCAGAAGAACATTAATATCACAGCCCGCCATTGGACGGAATTCTAAGCCAGTTCCATCCACGGATCGGTTCCATATTTCATATTTTCTGTCTTAAAATAACCTTCCTTTCAGAGATTAATTCGCTATATTCTGCAGGAATTTTTGTCGCATGCTAGTTGCAGATCCTCTATCATATCTACCTAGATTTAAGTCGCCAGGATGTTTTCCGGAAATGGGTGGAAAGTCAGAAAATTTGGTTACAACCCTTCCCTTCATTTAGCCCTTTTGTACCGTCGTCCTCAGCTTTACCGTGGGTAAAGCGGCAGAAGCGTGAAGGTGAGCATTTACCTTCATCTAGTGTTGAGGTCAAGAATGGTGCAACTATACTGGTGCTTCACCTTACATCTTCATGGCGTGGAGCTTAATTAATTAAGCCCAGAGATAATTTTACCTTACCGTCGTCCTCAGTACAATACTTGTATCTGTTCTTCTATCCCCGATGTTATCAATTTCCTCAACTAACGTTTCATAGAAGAACCAAGTATTTCTGATGCGACGCGATGGTCTAGTATTTAAGTATGATATTCTAAAAAATTGTAACTTTTGGCAATAATATTAGGTATATTCCTTTCTTTCAATTTTGATTTTTTACAAAAATTCATGGTTCATAGGAGGTGAGTACAGATGTCTGGCTTAATCCCATCCCTGTGACCATGTTTAAGACTACCAGGCGACCTGCATAAATTATGAAGCTCCTTGTTATGTAATATACTATGTTGTTTTCATAGCGAGAGTATCACGTTTATAAACCGCTAAGCGCAAGAGGTAATACGCTGGTGATGGATTCGGGCTACATGGGATACAGAAAGTGATATATTACGTGATACGACGAAGCGGGGAGTCATTCAAATTTACAAAACAATTTTCCATGTTATGTAACTTCAAGGACCACTATAACACATAAATGCGGTCTCACCGGTCTCACCGGTCGCACCAAACGAACTGGCTCAGACGGTAACATTTTTTTTTACGGCTCCTCTTTTTTTTTTTTTGCAATCTGTAAGAATTTACAATAAGCAAAAGGTAGGTTGATACAATGGCATGTAGGAGGCTACTCATTAGTAGACACCTTTCGTATAATAATCAGTGCTGATTAGTTTTGTTTGCAGGAGTAACTTACATCTAACTTACTTCTATAACCTTAATCTAACTTATAAACTAAATACATAAAGCTTAGAATCTGCCCGGCAGATCATTTGGCGCGAAGCGTTTAAGTCTTCTGTTGTGAATTGGCTGGCTCATGAGGTCTATTGCAAGTGGGTTTGGATGCTTGTTAAGTCTGTTACTATATTTAGCACTAAGTTGTTGTATTTCTTCTTTGACTGTAGTCATACCAAGGTCATTCCGGATGACACTGTTGTGCACATACCATGGGGCATTGGTTATCACGCGCAGTACCTTTGACTGGTAGCGTTCTAGTATCTCGATGTTTGAATATGAGCACGCTCCCCACAGTTGGACTCCATACGTCCAGATGGGCTTCAATATGATCTTGTAAACCAACAGTTTGTTGTCAAGTGACAGCTTGGAGTTTCTTCCTATTAACCAGTAGAGTCTGGTGAGTTTTAGGCCGAGTTGTTTCCTTTTAGCGGAGATATGTTTGCGCCAAGTCAGTCTTCTGTCAAGATGCATCCCAAGATATTTAGCATCTTCTGCTTGTGGGAGGTGGTGGTTGTTTAGATGGACAGGCGGGCAGGTCTCTTTCCTGGTGGTAAACGTAACATGTACTGATTTTGCTTCGTTGGGTCTTATTCTCCATTTAATAAGCCATTGTTGAATTTTGTCCAGGTTGGTTTGAAGAATCTGAGACGCCGTTTGCGGGTTTTCATGCGAGGCCAATATGGCGGTATCGTCGGCGAATGTTGCTGTTAGCACGTTCTGCTCGGTGGGTAGGTCGGCTGTATATATCAAGTATAGCATGGGTCCTAAGACACTGCCTTGGGGTACTCCGGATAGAATGGGGTAGAGGTTTGTGTGCTCATCTTGCTGTTTAACCAGGAAGTATCTATTTTGTAGGTAAGATTTGAATATAAGAAAATAATTGAGGGGGAGCAGTTTCCTGAGTTTATACAGTATTCCAGTGTGCCAGACTTTATCGAAGGCTTGTGTGATGTCCAGAAAGGCCGCTGAGCAGTACTTGTGGTCTTCTAGGTCTTGTCTAATCTTCTTACTGACTCTATGGATTTGTTCTGTTGTTGCGTGTTGTTGCCTGAACCCAAATTGGTGGTCAGGAATGAGGTTGTTTTCGTTGAGGAGTGGTCTCAACCTTGCTAGAAGTAGTTTTTCGAACACTTTTGAGAGAACAGGTAATAAGCTGATGGGCCTGTACGATTTTGGGTCTTCCGGTGGTTTGCCTGGTTTTGGGATTAGTATCACTTGAGCAACTTTCCATTGATCTGGGAAGTAGCCAGTACGCAGGATTGCATTAAATATTTGCGTGATGTACCTTATTCCCTTTTCTGGGAGTTCTTTTAATATTTTCCCTGTGATCAAATCATAACCTGGAGCTTTTTTGGGGTTTAAGTTACTGCTTATGATGTTTTTTATTTCGTTGTTTTTAAAGGGCTTAAGGGGGTATTCCAGCTGATAAGGTGATTCTAGGAATTGTTGTATTTCTTCCTCTTCATCCGGTTTGAGTTCTGTGGGGTGGGGTTGAAATACTTGGGCTAGGTGCTCTGCGAAGATTTTTGCCTTTTCTTTGTTGTTTCTGGCCCACCCTCCTTGAGGTGTTCTGATTGGTGGGTTGGTATTTTGTGGTTGCTTTAGCTTTTTTGTGGCTTTCCAGAGTGAATAGTCGGTAGCTTCGGTTGGTGTTAAGTTTTTGAGATAGTCTTGTATCTCTTGATTCTTGTTACTATTTAATAACTCTTTAAGTTGTAGTATTGCTCTATTAAGTAGCCTTTTGTTTTCTGGTGGTAACATTTTGACTTGTATTTTGCACCTGCCTGATCAGAATCCTGGCCGAGCAACTGGATAGCCTGTCCAAGGTTTTTCGTGGCTTTCCTCAGTGCCTCCAGGAAAATTCCGGCATAGTGTCTGAAGTTAGCTATGATCGCTATGATCGCATCCATCCACTTCATTTCCAGTTCAGCATTCACTCTTTATTCGAAGCTAAATGGGTACCGGAGGTACTTTCCCTCACCTCCAACCAGTGCCGAGGTCGCACACCGGTTGGCTATTTATAGCTAGTGGGGTGCGACTGAGTCCCTTGTAGTGCGGCCACTTCTGGCCTGTTGTACCAGCCCCAGATGATAGATGAGGGTGGAATGAAGATTGGCAAAGGAAACCGAAGTACTCGGAGAAAACCTGCCCCAACGCCACTTTGTCCACCACAAATTCCACTTGACCAGACCCGGGATCGAACCCGGGCCACCGTGGTGGGAAGCCAGCAACTAACCGCTTGAGCTATGGCGCGGCCTTCCTTACGTATATGATTATATATAACAAAATTAGGCAGGCAACAAGCAGAAGTAATACAAAATCATGATAATGAAAATGTTCAAGAAGTTGGACAAGGCGAAGCCCGACACAGAAAATATAAAAGGCTTAAATTTGGCTGCGGTCAAACACAAGACCGTTCAAGTAACCAGACTGCCGTTGTAGGGAAAGCTGCTAGAAATAGAGCATAATCTGCTGTACTGAACCCGAACTGACAGAGTCCTTGTATATACTGTATATACAAACATTAAGTAAGAAGTAAGATGTAAATAATTGTACATATTGACAATGAATAATACCGCTGACTGAGACTTTGACAAACGACAGACCCGTCCTCTCGTCAGAGAAGGCGCCCCACATGGACAGGACCGTTACTATCAGACAAGAAGAAATATATGAGGATTAGCCCTACGCGGGCCTCGACACCAAGACAGACAGCCTGACTGATTGGTCGTCATTTACAATGTGACTTTGACTTTGACTTTGACTTGAGTGCCGAAGTCAGAATACGTGGATCTATACAATCACTCCCCTACACGGGAAGGAGCCGGGATATCGTATTCGGTATAACGACTGGGTACGGGCTGGACGACCGAAGGGTCGGAGTTTGAGTCCCCGTAGGGTCAAGAACTTTCTCTTCTCTACATCGTCCAGGCGGCTCTGGGGTCCACCCAACCTCCTATCCAATGGGTACCGGGGTTAAGCGGCCGGGGCGTGAAGCTGACCACACACCTCCAGCTAGCCAAGGTCAAGAAAATGTGGATCTACACATCCATTCCCCCATACGCTTCATGGCGTAGTGCTTAATCAGAAGCACAGGGACCACCTACCCTACACATTTTCATAGCATAGTACTCAGTTAGTTAAGCACAGGAACATAGTGGGCTGAGGCACTATGCTTCAAGCCGGAAGGTGGCGGGTTCTATTCCCGATGAGGTCATTGGATTTTTCAATTGATCTAATGCTTCCAGCCGCACTATGATTCAGCCTCTAACAGAAATGAGTAACAGGAATCTTCCTGGGGCTATAGGACGGCCGGCGTGTGCGGATGACAACCTCACCACCATCTGTGAGCCGATGTCTAGATAATATGGGAGCCTTGACGTCTCATAATCCCATGGGCCTCCATGGCCTGTTACAGGGATAGCTTTATTTTCTTTTACCTCTTCATTCGAAGCTACATTTTCTGGGTTACTGACGTCATTACATAAGCTACAAGTTAGTATAAAGGACCAGGTATTGGTAATTTATTCAGATCAATCGGTAGTGTAAC